GTAGTAGTAGTAGTAGTAGTAGTAGTAGTAGTAGAAGTAGTAAGTAGTAGTAGAGTAGTAGTAATAGAGAAAAGTAGAAAACAGAAATAAGAAAGACAAGCAAAAAAAAAAAAGACCAAAGTAGAAAAAAGTCAGTAAGAAAAAAGAATAAAAGTCAAAAGCCAACAAGAAAAAAAATAAACAGAAGTAGAAAAAAAGAATGTAATAGAAAAAGTAGTAACAAGACAAAAACAACAGATACAAAATAACAAGTAAAAACACAAATCAAAGTATAAAAATAAAGTAAAAAATAGTATAAGTAGAATAAAAAAACAAAAAAAAAAAAGAAAGAGAGAAAAAGCTAGATGAGGGTGGATGGATTCCAACATAGTATCTGAGTGAGGGAGCAGTAGTAGTATAAAGTAGCTAGTAGTAGTAGTAGTAGCAGAGTAGTCGTATAGTAAAGTAGTAGCATAGTAGTAGCTAGTTAAGTAGTAGTAGTACGCAGTCCCGAGTAGTAGTGAGTAGTAGTAGCGTTATAAGTTAGTAGTAGTATCAATTAGTAGTAGCAGTAGGCTACTACCTTAGTCGTAGTTAGTGAGCTGACGTAGTAGGTTAGTGCTGCACAGGTACGGCCCTGATATACTATTATAGCTCATCTAAGTAGTGATAGCCTGATAGATATAGTAGTAGTAGTAGTTAGTAGCAGTAGCTAGTCCACCTATATTAGTAATGAGGTAGTTTTATGTGTAACAGAGTATATGACCTCTCGTATAGTTTCACTTACTCTTAGCACTTCAAGGTGATCGATGGTGAGCCATGACTATTTATATTTAGTAGTGGACTAGGTGAGGAGCGTGTGTATCCTATGACTTGGAGTAGATAATATATGTCAAGCTTGTGCACGTACAGTCAACCGTTTATATAAAGTAGTAGTGAGTAGCTAGCGACTCGTATGCCTACCGCGTTTAGTTGTTATGTAGGTTAGTGCAGTATAGTAGTAGTAAGTAGTAGTAGTAGTCAGTAGTAGGAGAGTAGCAGCAGTAGTAGTAGCATAGTAGTAGTAGCAGAGTAGTAGTAGCCATAGTAGTAGTAGTATAGTAGTAGTAGTATAGCAGTAGCAGTATATAAGTAGTAGTAGTAGTTAAGTAAAGTAGTAGTAGTGTAGCAGGGAGTAGTAGTGAGTAGTAGTAGTAGTAGTAGTAGCCAGTAGTAGTATATAGCAGCAGCAGTAGCAGTGCAGTAAGCAGTAGCAGTAGTAGTAGTAGTAGTAGTAGTAGTAGTAGTAGTAGTAGTATATAGTATAGTAGTAGCAGTTATAGTAGTATATAGTAGTAGTAGTATTAGTAGTAGCGTAGTAGTAGTAGAAGTATAGTTAGTAGTAGTAGTATAGAGCAAGTAGTAGTAGTAGTAGCAGTAGTTATAGTAGCAGTAGTAGTAGTAGTAGTAGTAAGCAGTATAGTAGTAGTAGTAGTAGCAGTTATAGTAGTAGTAGTAGTAGTTGTAGTAGTAGTAGTAGTTAGTAACAGTCAAGTAGCAATAGGTGAGTAGACGTAGTTGTAGCTAGCATAATAACAAGAGTAGTAGCATAGTTAAGTAGTAGTAGTAGTAGTAGTAGTAGCAGTATAGTAGTATAGTAGCTAGTATATAATAGTAGTGTATATCAAACTATCACTACGTCCCAGTAGATGTGGTTTCCAGTTCACTTTAGTGAGTGAGTGAGCTCCAGTGTAGTAGAATAGTAAGCAAATCCGATATAGTAGTAGTAGTAGTAGTAGTAGTAGCAGTAGTAGCAGTAGTAGTGTAGTAGTAGTTGTAGTAGTATAGTAGTAGCAGTAGTAGCAGTATAGTAGTAGCAGTAGTAGTAGTATCATGTATATACTATGCGACGCTCACTATATCAAGTAGTACTTACTTTAAGTCATATTTTCTCCTATGCCTAGCCTAGCTAGTATATAACAATCAAGTAGCCCATAAAAGTCAGTAGTCACTGAGCTCAAGATGACGTAAGTCAGTGAGTGAGTGA